AATAAAGCGTATCCTGGTGAACTTATCGGATGAAGATCACGTTTTCATGCACCTAATTCGTCCATATTTCTTATCCAATAATATATCTCTCCGCGCGTTCTACACCTGATAGCAACCGCGTTTTCTTGATTAAGTTAAAATCACCGTTCCGCTGAATTAATAGCGATAATTCAAGATATTATGGATAAAGCAAATTCATGAATCATATTCATCGATCATGCGATCAGAACGTAAAATATCAGCAGTAGGAGTAGCATTTATTCGATGGACGCGTAAATAAGTCAGAGTAGACAAGAGCGTCGATGTGATTGTCGATCACGTAACAAGCGTATCGAGTTTTCACGATCGAGGGGCGAGCGTAGATCGGTCGAGGGTAGAACGTGAAACGGCCATAAAACATATCGATGCTTAATCCTGTCAGACAGGCCGAGTGTCAGGGCGACAACGCAAATAGCACGCGCGTATAAGCCGTGCACCGTTGCGGATATCCACGTGGGTCTGCCCGTCACGAATCCTAAGATTTCCACTTGGACGCGTAGCGAATTTATTGACGCGTGGATCGAAGCTGGGCTTGCTCGTTCAACGACGGGAGAATATCTTGATTACGGGGAACGAGTTTAGATCCGCGATAGCGGCGAGCTAATTATATGTTGATACGCGGTAACACGCGTCCGAATGCGTCGCTAAGAAGCACGTGCCGGCTGTCTTCTTACCTGGCACGGCTGCTGCAATCTTCCTGCCATAGCCAGCCACAGGTATGCCTATTTACCGAGTAGTTGAAACGCGATGGTAATAGCGTGACAGCGAGTAAGACGGATGTTAGGCATGACGTCGCACGTGCGCGTCAGCGAGCGCACCGGCTAGGAGGTATCCGCCTAAACCTGCCGTAGGCGTACTGGTTATCCGCGTCGCGGACGTGCCATTAATTAGGTACACCGGGCATCGGGTAGGCCTTTAACGGTATACGGGAGACACGTCGCCATTAACGCGAACGCCCCGACGATTCGACGTCGCGTCGCCGAGACGATCGGCTCGTTACCAGCGAGTCGTAGAGGCGAGGCGCGAGCCTAGGGAAGCGAGACTACGCGATCGCGAACGAGAGGTCACGCCTCGACGACACGTGGGAAAAAAAGTATGGCCCCGGCGGTGTCTCGGTAAATATAGGCGCAGCCCGAGACGACGACGACGACGACGACGACGACGTTCGCCGCGTGGTAAAAATCGCCAGACGGGGCATGTTCCGAATAACAGTAAAAGAACGGTTTATTTGCATTTCGCTTGTAAACCAGCCGGCCGCGTCGCATCGTCTCGGCTACTTCTCGTCCAGCCGATTCATCATTCTCAGATGGATTTTGACACTTTCGGACGCGGTACTGCTTTCTACCGCGGCTTCGCTCCATACAACGTTGGCTTCATTAAAATTCTACATGATACGAATTGTAATTACGAAATAGCATATTGTCGGCGATCTTTCGTTTCTCAATACGATTCGAAGTGGACGTATTTATGACCACGCATGGAATCACTTCGCGCAGAAAGAAAATAGCGATTCTGAAGTCAGTAACCTCGGCGCTGTCATTAAATTCCCAGAATCGTGGATCGATAAGATTTCTGACCGATCTATGCCCGATCATAAATACGATCGTATCGTCATAGGATCTCGGCGTCCCTCCTAGGTAAAAGGGAGCACAGAGCAGTGGAGAAAGGGAATGAGGAATTCCCCGTAAAGACAGCGGTTAAAATTATAACCATTTAACGACTGTGAGAACACAGCGTAGAATGTCGACGCGCACGAGGGCACGGAAAGAACGAATCGGGAGATAAAGAGTCCGTGCGCTGATAGAAAGAAACGGAGGCAGGAGACGCGAAGGTAGACCTCTTGTCCGTGGCATTGTGCGTCCGGTGTGCCTATCCGGAGCCGCATTTCTTGCTTAAAGTAGCAGCACACGCAGGAGCCACGCAGCTTCTTGGAGGCCGCTCGGTTCTCCTACCTGCGCTCGCGCGACGCTCGCACCTGCCAACTAACTAGTCGAACCTGATTAAACTCTGCCCTGTGTGTCGTATGACATGCCCCTGCACCCTCCCCGTTGCGCCTTAACCTCGACCACCTCCACCTCTAACTTCCCGTTAACCCCTTCCTCCTCCTGCGCCTTCAATCACGTCCTCTCCTCCTCACGCGTTCGTTCTATGATCCAGCTCTTTTTCTCTCCTACTTCGCTCATATATTGGCCTCCCTTTTCTCTTCTTACCGTTCCCTCTTCTTTGTCCGCGCGTGTCTCTCGTTCTCCGTCTTCCCATCTTTGATCTCCCTTTTTCTCTCTACATACTCGGTCCGCATCGACCGTTCTTCCCGTGGCGTTCGGTAAGGCGGGAGAAGAGTTACAGGATCACCGATACCATATCCGACCTGCCCGCGATCTCCACGCCGACGTAGAAATACGTTCGAGTTGGCCAAATGCCTCTTCCCGATTCGTTACACCGTGAGATGGTACGCTCGAGATTAGGGGAGCGAGCTACCCTTTCCTATGAGATCGCGAAGGACCGTCTTTCAGGCCGCGTTTTTCTTCTGCCCGCCGCTTTTCCGCTCGAGCTCGATCATTCGAGACATGGACACGCGAGATGTTGGGCTCGTCTACTTTTACTCGGCTCGCCGTTTTGGCATCTTAGGGAAGCAAGATTAAATTTATAAAAAGTAAAAATTATTATTTCGGGCAAACATTTCACCAGCGGTTTAAAATTACAGACAATTATGTTTCAGAATATTATTATTAGACTATGACTTTTACGCAATTATAAGAAAATATAAATAATGCATATAACGTATACAGAGTATCAAAATGCATATTGCAATGAGTATTTCATTTTATCCGTAATTTATTATTGTTCTTAAAAATCTTTATTTTATTTCAATCCAAAAGGTCGTAAATAAAATTAACACAGTAAACTGGTGGACTGAACTGTATTGCAGAAATCAGAGGATCCTTCAGTAAACCGTAGAACGTGATTCGTGATGGGTCAGGTCAGAAATCCTGCCAATCCCGTTTCTACTAATTTGATTAGACGATTAACCGTGTACAGCGTTCGGTTTAGTTTGATTAGATTCGCTTCGACACGACGCAAGTCGTAACGAACTCGTCGGAACGGTACTCGATGTAAATGAAAATTACGCAAATACGTCGGTGCGGTTCATCGATGATCCAATTTGCAATCTACTTTTGAACGTTGATTAACAAGTTCGATGTCCTCACATATATTATTTTTATAAAACAAGATTAATTAGTAGCCAATTAAAACAGTGCATTTCTTTTATAATTCAGACATTTCAATATTAACTTATTTCTGATATTCTGTACATCTCTAAGCGTCACATGCGGCGTTTATATTTTTTATAAGTGCATAAAATTCGGCTTTCGATCCATTTAGATTAATTCCATGCGAAGGCAAAGTTTTTAGTAGTTTGAGATTAGAATATGTACATTCCTTACAAATGCCAAATGGTTGAGTTGGACTAGTTTTCTTGCGCACGTACATTGTTGTGGCAGACGCTATTGCAGGTGACATTTTACCCGGAAATGAGGGTGAATGAAAAAGTTTCCTCCCGGGAGTGCTTCTGCTGCTGCCCTTTTGCTAGCGTCGAATGCATGCGACACGAACCTCGATGAACCGTGGGACCCGGTCACCGCACGACATTGTCCCCGCGCGTTGCGCGCACGTATATGCATAAAACAATAATCCACCTGGAGAAAATATGAACGCGCGCGTACTCTTACAACGCATTACGGTTCTGCTTTGCATAGAATATGTTCGTCCCGCGTTACGCGAACCTCCGTGCTAATATGCATGCGTAATTTGCGTTCACGCGCATAATTATTCTGCCTCACGAGTAACTGAAGTTACGGGGAATTTCTTTCACCTGTGTTTATGGTTCCAGATTCTTTAACTCGCCTCTGCTTTAGTGCTCTCTCAATTACATAGAGGAAGCGTACGCCAATTAGCATAGAAAGGAATCGTTAAACATTTGATTTGCTAGAAAACTTTTTACTCTTTTATTCTCTACTGACACTCTATTAACAAACAATGTTCGATTGTACATTTGCAATTCTTCTGGGCTCGAGATAGAAAAAAATATTAGATAATAGGAAGTAGAAGTTGAAATGCTGAATCCTCTTCACAAAGTGAAGGGATTGCGAACGAGGTAAAAGAGGATTAAGGGATGCGTTGATCAAGCGACACGCTGATCGAATGATAGAGTTAAATGAAAGTTGACCGGAGAGTGAAATCACGAGGGAAAACAACGCCGGAGCTTATCGAACGCTCTTGAATGTAATTAATTAAGGGAGCTCTCTCGATTTAATTTCGATTATGTTCGGATGCCGCCGCGGAAATTAGGAGGAATTGTACAAGCAACGCCGCTCGGCATAAAATCGTCGAACTGATGATTTACCTGGGAGTACTTGTTGCGCATTTCGTAAGATGGCGCGTCCTGCCGCTTAACGACTTTCCAAGGGCGCCAAGTACATTTTCGGGTTGATTTCAGCCGAATATTGACCATGACCTGGTCTACGTTCCATACATAGGCCAGGGAGATTGCCACCGCACTATAACCGGGGGACATAAATTCTTCAGCACAATTTCCGTCTTATCGTGCTTTTTAAGATCATCCCTTAAACCTCCCAATGAGAATTTTAAGTACACGTGAAAACAGGCAAAAGTCTGAAACAGCTAAGCGAACATGCTTTAAACCATCTTTTATAAGTAATGAGCGTAAGAGTCTGCGGGGTGAATAACAAGAAAACGGGCGATCTTTTATTATCCCCGGAGAAGCCTGCAACCGTTCTCGTATTTCATTTTCTTTCTCGATTTACTTTGTTTCTCGAGACGCGACACCTTCAGTTTATTCGTCGAAAGGACGTCTCACGTTAGACGAGACACCCGGAAATTCTCAGTTAATTCCCACGACCGTAAATCGTTCCGCATGATAAAGATAAGGAGATAAGAAAATGGATCGAAGCCAGTACGTCGACTACATCATTCCGTGGGTCCAGATGCGGGCGGGGGAGGAATATATACTGAGAGCGTCCAAGGACTATCCCGTGGTAAGAGAACTTTCCGAACGAATACAGGGAGCTTAATAATTAATGCCGAGAGTGCGGAGCTCGTAGAACGTTCCATTCCGGTGGTATAGCTCGTTCTACGTCGAAACCGACACTGCCGCGAGAGATAGGGGAAAGCAATTTTCCAGCACGGTCGGGAATCTATCAATCGGGATGAAATTTTCTTGCGGACACTGACTCGATATCGGTAACGCGAATAACATTGAGCGATCTTCGCCCAGGCGCGAGTACACCGGGAAACGAAATTGATTTTCAGTTGGAACCGTTCGCCCCTCGCCACTCGATCTCGTATTTTAACAATTATAAAGAAGACAGTGCGAAATCGGCGCACGAGCGTCTTCATACGGTGGACGGATACGATCCCAAAAGAGTACGATGCGATCGCGTAAATCCGAGCTTATATTGGCTGGAGATCGCTAAGGAGAATCAGGGTCACAAAGTACCCATGACTACTAATCTCTGGTATGGTAGACCGAACAGGGTTCAATTCGATTACATCCCGAAGAAATTCAACCGATCGAGCAAAATGCAGCAATTCTTCACCCGTTGCGGGATTACTTACATCCCTGAAGACGATGACGAGATTTGTAATTAGTAGACTGAGAATATCTATGCATTTTGAGAACAATTAGACCTGCAGGGAATTATAAACAATCCAGAACGTCAAGAATATAATATACATTATTATTTTTGGGAGGGGTAAAAGAAATCTCGTATACATATTACTTCCACAAAAGTGATGTCTTTATTTCCATATACTTGTTTTGTATTGTCGTTTATGTTTCTATAATATGAATTATAAATTATTATTTTAATACAACAGTTTACAAGCGGGGCGTTTTTGTTCTCCCTTAACATTGCAATACACTTAAGCCGACTAAAGGATTTGGGTAGAAGGACGTTACATTGTCGTACAGATTAGGGAAGGACTATTGTAGGTGTGCATACACCCTCTATGCGCCCAACTTAAACTGGCTCTAACTCGAAAGTTCCGTCTACTACACCGAGAACTCTATACTTCATAATTATCGTTACAATTCCTAGTTGATAAACTTCTCTGGAAAGGTACGTTAATAAAATTACCGCAATGTTTCGATATTACGTCCACGTAAACACGTTAAACATTAATCTGTACTAAGTACTGTAAATTGAATTGTATAGAACATTCACAGAGTACATTTCCCAGGTAGAAAATTCCAAGCAATCGATTAATATTGATTTTATAAAAAAATCTGATTATTGTAATCGAGGACGTTGCATATTTTTCAATTCATGCTCTCAGTTTAATATTAAAATCACAGCAATGATTTGGTGAACCATTTCCTTTTTACAATTCGAACTTCCTTGCAGCGCTGTCGTCAATTACAATTTGAAGTTTCAGTCGAAACGTGAATGAAAACCAGTTCGGCAAACACTGTAAACAATTTTATTCGGTATATCAAGAGGTATGCAATACTCGTGTTCGCCGCATTTCTGTTTCTGTCATTTTGATACGGACGGTTGCCTGATACTGGGATTGTTACTTCGGAATACGAGGGTAAGAAACACCACGGAAAGAAGGCCGCGAAGCTGCGTACATGCACTGGGTATGTGCACAAGGAATACGTATTCGCGATGGTACCTATGTACAGTACGTCGAGTTGCTTAGAGCTTCGTGCGAGGCATCGAGAGATCGGTGAAACTCAAAAGAAGGGAGCGGGGGGGGTGAGGATGGAGGGTATATATGTAGGAAGTATCGATACGAATTGCCCGAGCTTTATGTAACCTAGAGCAGACGTGACACAGCGGTTGAATGCGCGTGATATACTTAAGACGAATTCGTCGATCGATGATCATAGATTCTATTGTTGCCCGTTACGTTTGACGATAGGCATTACAGTTCGCAGTCGTATGTGAACAACATGAGTGACACGCTTCGTGTTCACTTGCTTCAGCAGAAATTATAATTTATTGAAGTCTAAAAAACTAGGACAATCAATGTACTACGATCTTCTGAGTAATAAACGAACGAGGTAGAGATTATTAATTTTAGAAAAGGATCTTGTCGTGAAATCGTTCTGTATTCTACGTATTTTTCATAGCGATTTCCTAGTTCTTATTCAAGAAACGAGTCGGATTTAAAGCAGATAGTCGTAACGGGAACTCCGGTGCGGCAGATGAAAAGCTGGCTGCAAATCGACGAAGATTTTGTGTAAATTTATGCGCATAAAAGCAGTCGCTGGTATTCTCGTCCTGTCGCGACAGGACAGTTTCCTCCGTTGTTTCTAGTTAATCGTTCGGGGTCACGGCCGACCTAATGCCTATCTTCCGATTCCTTGTGTTGGACTCGTTAATTAAAAGTTTAATTAAAGCTACGTCAATTAATCAGAATTCTGCTTCAGACTGTTCTCGCGTTCTTCGTCGCAGCACGCGGGACAGTAGAGAAAAATAAAAAAAAATAAAAAGAGAAAGAGTGAGAGACAGAGAGAAAAGGTAGAGAGCAGCGTGCGGTAACTGGCAGTTGTCCGTTGGCTTGTTCCTGTTGCCGCTACGTGACGAAACGGGCAATTAAAAAGCCGTGTCGGCTAGAGAAATTGTTGTATAATGACGGTCGAACGCGGGGAGTCGAGATGAAGTGAATTTATTACTTTCAAAAAGTCACACGCCAACACGACGGTCTAAATTCGCCGGTAATGACTACATGGTCCCACGCGATACTCACTCGCACGTGTATGTGAAGTTAGTTTGTCCGTTAAACGAAATGCTCGGAGACTTTTCACCGGCTCCTATTTGTTCTTCAATTAACCTGATGCTGGATATAATTTAATTCATTAAGTTTATTTCGCGCAAAAGACAGATGAATTAAACATTATTTTTATCTCCGAATTTAATAAATACGTATATAGCGTTTTGACGTTTCACTTTATATTCTTATTTACCAAGTTCTTACGGGAATTGTTAGAAAAAATTTGTAGATCAGCGAATTCATTATCGTATAATACGCAGTGATCTTCCTAATTTGAAATCCAGCAAATAAAGCAAACTCAGCCACGTGAACTAATTACCATTTAATGGCCGTGCTATTTTAAAGAGGTTTGAACTTGCCTTTTCTCTTCTTTCCGCTATGAGCGTACACCAGGTTGGTCATGAAATTATTAGCGAGCTCCGCTCAGCGAAAACTCGATCAGTAATAATTACGCCACCGTGTACATCGAGTAATGTTACCAAGTTCGCCATCCTTCATAGCTTCGGGAGCAGTTAATCGAATTACCTTTGGTGGCGCAAAGTAACGAAGCCGAAATGGTATCCGGAGTGTGACCTCATTAATACGTTGCTCCTCGAAGAAGTTAGATGCGTTCTTGGTGAGCGCAAATAAATATCGGCGGCTGGGAGCGCTTCGAGAAGTTTCTTTGGAATTGTTTTATAGTACCCCGCAGACTTTAACGCCCTCCTTCCTCTCTTCCACTTTTGGTCTCTGTCGCCATACATACCCCTCTCTCTTTCCCCCTTCTCTTGATCAGAATCACGCATTCATTACTGGTTTCTGCTTTAAGCTTCTTCGTCCAAACGATCTTGTACAAATGAATATCTCGTTGGTTTTATCACTTTTATATACTGAGTTCATTTTCATGACATGTACAAGAAAAGTACTATAATATCTATATAC